TCTCTCTCTCTCTCTCTCTCCTCCTCCTCCTCCTCCTCCTCCTCCTCGCCCACTCACGCTCTGTCTCTTTCTCCTTCAAATATAAACATTAAAAATATTTTTTAATTTGAATTGGTTCAAATTTTCTTTCTTATCCCTCAGAATTTCAAAATTTTCTTCAGACTGCTCCCAGACATTTTATCTTTTTAGTTATTATGAATGTATACCTTTTCTTACACGATTAGTCCTAATGCCTATTATATTTGTATAAAAAATTATTTGTGTATATTACTTTTATAAGCAGTTCCTTTACTGAATTCTCTTAATACTATCAATACACAGACAAGCAGATGAACTGAACAGAAATGATTTCAGAAACATGTTCTCCAAAAACATGGAAATTCAGTATATGAGAAATGTGACATTTCAAAATGTAAAAAAGAAATGCATCATTCAATAATTGGAATGAGGACAACTAGTTAGCCTGCCGGAAAAAAAGGAAAGCTAAATCTCTACATCTACTGTTTATAAGCCAAATATATTCAACATTAAATGAAGATTTTAAGCGAAGTAAACCATAAAAAAAAAATAACAGAAAACCCATATAACTTTTTCAAGTACCATAATTCACTGAATCTAAAACTACCAATCTTAAGCTACATGACTATTTTATGTGTTAACTAAGAAAGAAAATAATAATAATGTCAAATTATGACAAACCAGCAATTCATGTCATTTCGGAGATGTGACAACACAGAGGAAAAAGTGAGCCCTACAATCAACAACGGAGACCTTTTAAACTTTATACAGAAACCCCCCATGCCCAGCCATAAAGGAAAAGACTAAATTCAATCATAAAAAATGAAAACTTCCATAAGGTAAAATCAAAATCATAAGATCAGAAGAAGAAAAATTCAGTGAAAATAATTTGCCTAATGAATGACTAGGGACTCAGCACAGGACCAAAGAGATCACTGAAAATATACATACAGCCAATAATGGAAAAATGCTGAAGCTCACTCATAATGAAATTTTGGAAAGCAATACTAAACAACAAAATACTAACAAATTATTAAAAAGTTTGACACTAGCTAGCGTGGTCATTGAGCTAGAGATTCCCATTTTCCTAGACTTACTGATATTGGAATAATCCTTTTAGGCAATTCATCCACCTAATTATTAAATGTACATGCTCTCTGGCCCAACAATTTTTCCCTTAGGGATTTATACTGCATGTACTTTTTAAAATATATGCAGGGGCACCTGGGTGGCGCAGTCAGTTAAGCGTCCGACTTCAGCCAGGTCATGATCTCATGGTCCGTGAGTTCAAGCCCCGCGTCGGGTTCTGGGCTGATGGCTCAGAGCCTGGAGCCTGTTTCCGATTCTGTGTCTCCCTCTCTCTCTCTGCCCCTCCCCCGTTCATGCTCTGTCTCTCTCTGTCCCAAAAATAAATAAACATTGAAAAAAAAAATTAAAAAAAAATAAAATAAAATATATGCAAAGACATGTCCAAGAATATCTACCATATTACCATTTATTATAGCAAAAGCACCTGAAAACCTAAACAGCCATTAATAAGTAAGCAGTTAATAAAATTATGGTATACTCAAATACTGGAATACTACACATAATGAAAAGAGAAGAAAAGATATGCAAAAATGCAGAAATTAACAAAAAAGATATATTGCTAAACAATATGTATGGTGTGATCTCAATTGTGTAAAGAATATGTAAATACAGGTATACATATAAATATCTGCATATATATAGAAAATGTCTGAAAGAATACACACATACATATACACACATACTACAGACTTATATAATACACACATTAACTGTGAAAAGGAACAAGGAAAACCTTTTTTTTTTAACCTTATAACATTCTCTAATGCCTAAGTGTGTCTCATCTTATAACAAACCTGGGTAAGGAAATGTTGAAGGAGTGAGAAATGTTGAACTTGACAATTACCAGAAAACTTGGAAAAAGAAGGAAATCTTAAAATACAGCCACTAATATTGTCACATACTCATTTTTAAAGAATTCTCAAAACTAAATTTACGAAAATCTTCAGAATTTTTATAATCATTAACAACTGACATGCGAATATGTGCCACTGACAGATATGTAAATACCCTGAAAACTGTTAAATATTTAATTTTCTTTCACTTGTTTGAAGGATAAAGCACAGGCCTAACATATGTACCAACATAAGCCAACAAGAAAGGAGAGGATCATCTGTCTTCCTAAAATAAGGGAACTGGGCCTAAAAAAGAAACATGCAAGTAATCTAGTTAAGTGAGAAAAGATAATGATCTACATCCTATAAAACTAATACCATTAACTCTTTTCAATGTATAGACGTTCGTTATTTATATATAGCAATACCATGCCATATATGTGTGTGTGTGTGTATATTTTATATATATATATATATATATATATATATATATATATATATATATATATGTCATGCTTATACGTAAGTGGGTATAAAAAGAAAAACGATCATCCAGTAAATACAGAGTGCTATCCAATAGTTGTGATTAGTGCTGTTCATAATACAAGCACATGGGCATCTATCACAGGTAAAAATAAAGACTGAGTAAAACAGTGTTAGATTACCTCTATATAGTATGTCAGGCAAATGCCCATCCCACCAGATCACTTGGCTGAATTTCCAAGCTCCTGATTCCTCCCCTCTATCCTATAAAAGTACAAAAATACAGGTTATCTCCCAAAAGAATCAGAATTAGACATATTCTTAAAAGTCAGATAAAATAATTATACCTAGATATGCTAAATCTAACAACATTCTTTCCAAGCCAGATACTGGATTAATAGATATGGTTGGATTAAATAGAATTAGTAGCAACTAATACTTAATGACCCATCAGTGATAAATGATATTCCAAGGAAATGACCAGAACCTAACTGGACTTTTTCAAGCTTAATTTCTAGTTGAGGATTAAGATCTCTTTAAAATCAGAGCAATAACCCAAAATTATCTTAAACAACTTTGAAATAAAAAAAGTAAACACAAAATGTGCTTCATTAAAATCTTATGTTGATACTCTCCATTATTCAAAGAGTACTACTTCCTGATGAAACCCCAAAATAACATTTCCCTCAGCTCAAAAGTCTAGCTACATTAATACAGCTTTTAAAAATACAAAAACATTAAGTATTTAAAATTTTCAAGGTGGGGCACCTGGGCGGCTCAGTCAGGTAAGCATCTGACTCTTGATTTCTGCTCAGGTCATGATCTCACAGTTCATGAGTTAAGCCTGCATCTGGCTCTGCACTGACTGAGGAACCTGCTTGGGATTCTCTCTCTCCCTCACCACACCCCCATCTTTCTCTGCCCCTCCCCCACTCGTGCACATGCCGTCTCTCTCAACCATTTAAAAATTTTTTTCAGGGGCGCCTGGGTGACTCAGTTGGCTGAGCATCCAACTTCAGCTCAGGTCACAATCTCATGTTTAGTGAGTTCAAGCCCCATGTCAGACTCTGTGCTGACAGTTCAGAGCCTGCTTTACATTCTGTGTCGCCCTCTCTCTCTGCCCCTCCCCCACTCATGCTCCCTTCTCCCTCTCTCTCACTCTCTCTCTCTCTGTCAAAAATAAACATTAAGGGGCGCCTGGGTGGCTTGGCCGGTTAAGCGTCCGACTTCAGCTCAGGTCATGATCTCACGGTCCATGAGTTCGAGCCCCACATCGGGCTCTGTGCTGACAGCTCAGAGCCTGGAGCCTGTTTCAGATTCTGTGTCTCCCTCTCTCTCTGCTCCTCCCCGTTCATGCTCTGTCTCTCTCTGTCTCAAAAATAAATAAACGTTAAAAAAAAAATTTTTTTTAATAAAAATAAAAAAATAAAAATAAACGTTAAAAAAATTTTTTTAATTTTTTTTTCAAGGCAAAGGTATTTAATAATACCAATATGGTCCATACATATTTTTTAAGTGTTATGCTATAATCAGCCTTTTAACAGAGACTAACACAGAAAGTTAATATCCTATGTTGGTACTGCATTAATACTGGACACATATAATTTCCTTTATGCAACTGGGGTATTTTTTGCTGGCATATGAAAGGGAGGTAATAAAGACAATGAAGACTGAAAGCTGAAACTTTATTAGAAACAAAGAATAGGCCAAATTTAATTTTTTATTCAGAAATAACAAAGCATTTATATAACAGCCCTAACACACATTTTCAGGGCTCAATAAATATCTTGCAAATCAATAAAAGCTATAAACGTAAAAGCAAAACAATTAAACTTTAAATCTTGAGGAAATAACCAATATATTAATCCAAAATTATGTTTATATAATTTTATCGAGGGATCACAAACACTACAGCCTTTCTGATAATGCAGCATTTTCTATTCCTCAGCCAGTCAGTAGCTTTGTTGCTAAAATAATTACCAATCAAGAAATCTATTTAAAATTTTTTTTCTACTAAGCTCTTAATTGCCTGCCTCAAAGCTTTGTTTCCAAGCACTCAGAAGAGCATATATGCCATCATTCTCAATTATGTAAAACAATTTTTGAATACATACTTGCCATAAAACTGTACTATTGTGGTGGACATTATTAAAAACAGGTAAAGTAAAGCAAAACTGTATTTGCACTACACTGCTATCTATGGTCTTCACTGTGTTCAACTTTTAGAATTTTTTAATTTAATGTTTATTATTTATTTTTGAGAGGGAGACAGAGTGCAAGCAGGGGAGGGACAGAGAGAGACAGAGGGAGACAGAACCCAAAGCAGGCTCCAGGCTCTGAGCTGTCAGCACAGAGCCTGACATGGGGCTAGAACTATCAAACTGCGAGATCATGACCTGAGCTGAAGTCAGACACTTAACCAATGGAGCCACCCAGGTGTCCTCAACTTTTAGATTTTCTAAAGCTATAGAACAGTGTAAACTTGAACAGAAAAAGCAGAGCAAAGTCTACATACAAGAAATAAAAATGTCTTCTAATTATATATTTTAGTATTACATCATGAGTCTTTTTGAAAGTTGACTGGGTATATTTACCCCGCAATCAAGACAGTATTTCATATGCCATCATGGAATACGGTAAAATAAAATCTACAGACTGGACAAATGTTTTCAAAATGTTAATATTCTGTTGAAAACATTTTCACAAGAAGTCTACTCATCTTCTTGCATCACTTTTGATTCAAAGCCCTAAATTAAGGCTATCATACATCAAAGAACATAACTAGACATGTTAAAAGAGAAACAAAAAATAAAATAGTAAAGCAAAAAGAAAAAAGAAACATGCCCCCACACACACACATACACACCCACATGCACAAAATATTATTACCTCAAGGTCTAAACCTGTAACAGAAATTTTGGAATATATTTCCCATTACAATGTTTCCTCTACCATGGAAACACACAGTTTTCCCTAACTCACTTGCCACACAGTCTCTGTCTCTGGAACTCTAATTCATTTAGCATCATCTACCAATTTCACTTCTCCTTCCAAGTCTCTATGCTTCCTTTAAATCTCCCACTCCTCTCTGCCAACAATAAGGAAAGAACCTACCAAGCTGGAAACTGAAGACCCTGCAAGTACAAAAAGAGAGGTACAAAGCTCCTGAACCACCCAAAGGCCAATTATAATCTTCCTCTTTCAACATGCTTCACTCCCTCACTTCAGGAGTTATAGTGAATATTCCTTCTTGTCAATTCCTAGGATTTAAGATTTTGCTAGCTAAATATTCCCTAATTATATCACTTGTGCAGATATAAACAGTGAAATTAAGACTAAAACTGTTTTAAGGTAGCAGTATATTTATGCTGTCAATAAAAATATTTTTAACCAATGATAGATGTTAATATAACAGATCCATACTATACTGTGAATATGGACTTTTAATTTCACATGGTATAAACTCTCACACTTAGTTAATAATTAAGGCAATTTTCTACCAATACCCATTTTAGTAACTATGGCACATTAAGAAAATAAATGAAGTATTTTTCAGGGACCATTAGCTACTGTCCTCCCATTATTTAGTTTTGAAAGACTGGCAATATTCCAATATACATACCAGCAGGTGGGCTGATTCATTAATTAAGCCAACATTTTTGTCATTAATTTGAGTCAATGTTCTGATCACCTGATATGCATGTACAACATGCTATCTAAGATTCCTAAGACATGCATAAAATACCACGGTCTCTGCCCATCGGAGTTCATAAGGTAGCAAAGATGCTAAGTACACATACAACAAATAATGTTAATAATAGTAACATTATGTAGTAAGGGCTATAATTAAAGTTTAAGCAATTTATTATAGAAAAAAATCAAAGCAGAGAGCACTCACTTCTTCCTCTGCTACCTTTTCAAATGAAAAAGAATTAACCTTTTAATGTTCACTTTACCTTTAAAGATGCAATGAATATATACTTTAGACTTTGCTTAGCAGTGTTCCTAGGACTTTGCAGGTATTAACTCTCATAATCCAAACAACAAACTTATGAGAGTGGTGCTATTAACTACTCACATTTTACAAGAGAGAAAAACTGAAGGGTTAAATAACTTACCAAAGGTTACAAAACTAGTAACTGGCGGAACCAAAGTCCTTATAATGGTCTGCAAGGCCCTCCACAATCCACCACAAGGCCCTCCACAATCCACCACCACCACCTTTCAGACCTCATCTTCTATACTTTCCCCCTTGCTCCACTTGAGTCCAGTAACCAGACTTTCTTATCTCCCTGTATCTTCTAGCATGCCATTGCCTTAGGCCTATTGTACTGGCTATTCTAGGCCTGGTATACTTTCTCCCAGAGATACTTATAACTAAATCCTTTACCTACTTTCAGTCTTTGCTCAATCATCATCTTGTTAATGAGGCTTTTTCCTGCTATGCGATTTAAAACTGTCCCCACATGCACTCACACCCAATCCCCCTTTTATCTGTTATACATTTTCCATAATAGTTACCACCTCTTAACATGCTAGGTAATCTACTTGCTTATGATGTTTACCGTTTTCTGCCCCTAACTATATAACATAAGCTCCACAAGGGCAGGAATTTCGTTTTGTTCACTGATCTTAAGACCCTAAAACAATGTATTGCACCTAGTAGATACTTGGTATTTTTTAAATGATTATAAATAAAGTTGAACTCCAATACAGAAATCAAGCTCCAGAAGCTTAACCACACACACGACACTATCTCTCAATTACGGAATCACAGATAACAAAATTGAAGCATCTAGAAAAGTCACATTAACCTAATGCAGCAGAGAACCTCGTATCAAAACCAGCCTAGTGGGGATTTGGCAACATTACCCTTCAGCTTGGGAATTTCCCTAAAAAGCTTTGTTGGTTTTAACAATAAATTAGCATACTGAGGAGTCTACTATATACATTGTATATAGTATATATACAATGTATATAGACATTGTATCAAATAGAAAATAATTCTGAGCAATGTAAAGAATAGTTTAATCCCAGCTAATTTCCAGTCTTTGTTTTAAAAGACTGTTAATAATGAATTTCAGAAGTACTCTCTTAGAAAAGCTACAAAACGGCATGCACATTAAAACAGACAGGAAGAGGGGCGCCTGGGTGGCGCAGTCGGTTAAGCGTCCAACTTCAGCCAGGTCACGATCTCGCGGTCCGGGAGTTCGAGCCCCGCGTCAGGCTCTGGGCTGATGGCTCAGAGCCTGGAGCCTGTTTCC